GCTAGAGTGCTGTGGCGTCAGCCTAGCTCACAGCAACCTCAAACTCCTGGGCTCCAGCAATCCTCCTGCCTCAGCTTCCTGAGTAGCTGGGACTATAGGCATGCACCACCATACCCAGCTAATTTTTTCTATATATTTTTAGTTGTCCAGCTAATTTCTTTCTATTTTTAGTAGAGACGAGGTCTTGCTCTTGCTCAGGCTGGTCTCACACTACTGAGCTCAAACGATCCACCTACCTCAGCCTCCCAGAGTGCTAGGATGACAGGCGCGAGCCACTGCGCCCAGCCTTATTCTTTCTTTGTGTTAAAATAACATCATCATATTTCTTCCAGAAAATAACAAACACTTTTAGACGTATTTTTCCTCTATTGTATTTATGTCTCATTTGAAGATGGAGTAACCTCTTGGCTGCCCAGTGTATATACACTGCTCCTTCTCACATATTCAATTGTAAAAATGCTCCTACTTAACCCTAATTCAGCTGTCTTCTATGTAATTCCAAACATATTCACACTCTCTCCTGTGGGAAACAATCCAAAGTCATATATATCTTCTGTATTATGAAGTGACACAATTTAGCCCCTCTGAGTTCAGGTTTTCTGTGTAGTGTCCATCTCTCCATTGTCTTGGATTTGATGAGGTTTAATTGTGACTCCTCACCGTCCTGCAGCTTATGGGATAAATGATAAAAGTAGCTTCTCCTATTGACCTGATACAGTGAAGCGGAATAAAAAACAAACCACAAGTGGGGAAAGAAGTGCCATACGTTGATTACTGGTACAGAATATATGCCATGTCTTGCTGAGTAAGCTTAGCCGGATGGGTATTAAAAACAGTGAGTCTCAAGCATTCTCTTTGTTGACTCACTTATCTGGAGGCAGAGTACATTATCTGGTCAGCCAGTCCGGCTGGCTCAGATCCTGAGTGAGGGCACCCTCAGAAAGGCACTGAGGGAGGATTTCCCTGTTGGTGCTGGTGGTGGTGATGGTGGGCAGAGGGTTTACGGGATGCTGGTGAATGGCTTTGATCTTGGCACTTCCATGTTAGGGCTTGGTTCAGGGACTGCCATAATGTTGAACAGCCATAGGTCTCTGTACAACAGGGTAGGAACTTTTTTGACAATATAACTTCCTTAAAACTGTGATTAGCTCCTTAACAATTTAATTTGGGGTCTTGTAGCCAATGCCAGAAATCTTGTATTATTCTTAATTTGCTAAAAGAATAGCCATGGTATTACAACACCTTTAGTTTTTTTGTTTCTTTGTGGGTTTTTTTGTTTGTTATTAGCATTTTGTCAAGATGATCTTTCTATGACTCTAACTCTTAGCTAAATAGAGTTTGCTTCTGGAATAGTTAGGAAGATTAAAGAAAAGCTCCCAACTATTCCCAAAGGTGTCACCCTTGTCCTTTCTTTGCGTTTCAGACCAGTGCAGTTTACAATAGGAAGGAGGCATCATTTTTGTCTGTAGGGTCAGGGAGAATCACCTTTTCACTCCAACCAGTTGGGATCAAGTCCACTGCAACCATGTGGCTTGGAAGGGATTCAATTACATTTTTCTTCCCAGCACTGAATGACTAGGTGTTCCTGATAAATCTCTGTGTTGGGGCATCTCCAAGACCATACCCAAATTTAGTGATCCACTAGAAGAACTCACAGGAATCAGCATATACGTTGTGCTCACAGCTGACATTTATTACAGGGAAAGGCTATAAGCATCATCAACAAAGGAGAAAGGTGCGTGGGATGAAGTCCAGAGGAAGCAAACTGTTTTGCAAAAGGGTTGGACCATTTTACATTCCTACCAGCAATGTACTGGACCCAGTGCAAAATAAAATGTGAGGTCCATTGTTCAAAAAACAGGAAATATAAAGCTTTTTTCTTCTGGAGTTGCTCTCACAGAAAATTAAGATGATGTGCTGGTTATTATTATTAGCATTCCTGAGGGGTCTGTTGTGGTGTTTTTTTTTTTAATTTGTTATTCATGCTATTAATTATTAGCATAAATTTTACTGCTGTTTCATCTTTATATTATGCAACACCAAGAGTCTTTGCTCTCAGTTATTTGGGTATATACCCAGAAATGGAATTGCTGAATCATATGGTAATTCTAGTTTTAATTTTTTGAGAAACAACATGATTACTTTCTACTCACTTTTGAGTCTTGCCGAACTTCCGCGCTACATCATGTCCACCAGAATTCTGTGCTCATGGGACACGGCAAACACTATGTCTGCACGGGGCAGCAAGGAACAGCACAAATTCTGATTATCTACTCTGCTCACACTATCCTGCCTTGTCCCATTGGACTTCACTTACAAAACACTAGTTCAAATGGAAAATTATTAAGAATTTTAAGACAGTGCCAGCGGAGCATTAAATCAAGTGTGGGGCTCATCTGAGCACAGTGCCCATGAAGCCAAGCCTGATATGAGAATTTCAGTTGTTTCACATTCTCCCTAACAATCAGTATTGTCAGGCTCTTTGATTTTAGCCATTTGTATGGAGATGAAATGGTATCTTGTTATGGTTTGAATTTAAATTTCCATGATGACTAATGATGTCAGGTTTTGCCTTAGTCTGTTCAGGATGCTGTAACAGAATACCACAGACTCGGTGGCTTATAAACAACAAACATTTATTTCTCATTTTTCTGGAGGCTGGGAAGTTCCAGATTAAGGCACTGGCATATTTGGTGTCTGGTGAGGGCTCGCTTCCTGGTTCACAGATGGCTGTCTTCTTGCTATGTCCTCACATGGTGGAAGGGACGAGAGAGCTCTCTTAGATCTCTTTTGTAAGGTACTAATCCCAAATTCATGAGGGCTCCACCTTTACGGCCTAATCACCTCCACAGGTCTCACTAATACTATCACACTAGGGCTAGGATTCCAACATATGAATTTTGGGGAAACACAAATATTTAGTCCATAACAGTTATCTTTTCCTGTACTTATTCTCTCACTATATATATATACACATACACACACACACACACACGCACGTCTTTGCTTATTTTTCCCCATTGGTTTATCTTATTAAGTTGTAAGAGTTCTTACAAGTATTAGTCATTTGTGATCTATGTCTCTCTCTATATAAATATATAGATATATGTAGATATATAAATGTTTTTTCCTCCCAGCATTCTCTAACTTGTCTTATCATTTTCTTAATGGTGTCTTTGAAAGAGAAATAGTTTTTAATTTTGATGACATCCATATTATCAATGTTTTTCTTTTGTGGTTCATGCTTTTTTTGTGTCCTACCTAAGAATCTTTGCCTATCCCAAGATCACAAATACTTTTCTTCTGTTTTGTTTTGTTTCTTTTAGCTTTAGCTTTTATGTTTAAATCTATGATCCATTTTGAGTTCATTTTTAGTTTGGTGGGAAGTAAGGATCCAGGTCAATTTTGTTTTTGCACAGAGATGCCCAGTTGTGCCAGCACCATATGTTAAAAGTCTATCCACCCCCATTGAATTTCTATGGTGAAAATTAGTTGAACATGTATATGTGGGTCAACTTCTAGACTATCTAGTTTGTTTCATTGTTCTATAAATCTAATCTTGTATCATTTCTGTGTGGCTACCCTAGGTCCTCTGGATTTTTGTATAAATTTAAAAATTGGCTTGTTAATTTCTAAGCAAAACAATGTTGGGATTTTGATTGGAAATGCATTCAATCTATAGATCATTTTGGAAAGAACTGATGTCTTAACAGTACTGAATCTTCTAATCTATCAACATGGTATATATCTCCATTTATTGAGGTCTTTTAAAATTTCTCTAAGCAGTGGTTTGTACTTTATTGTGTTTTCCATATTTCTTAAATTTATGCCTAAATGTTTTAAGTTGTTTAAAGTTATTGTAAATGTTTTTCCACAATTTCAATTTTCAAGCATTTATTACTTGTATATAGACATATAATTGATTTTTATATTTTGATCTTATGTTCTCTGACCTTGCTATTCATAAGTTTATTTAGTAGCTTAGAAGATTCCTTATTCTACACACTAAACATGTCATATGCAAATCAAGACAGTTTTGCTTCTTCCTTTGCAAAATGTATGCCTTTTTTCCTGCCTTGTAACACTCTATGGGACCTTCATTACAACGGTGAATACAAGTGGTGAGAGTGGATATCATTGCCTTCTTCCTGCTGTTAGGTAGACAGCATTCAGTCTTTCACTGTTAAGTATGTTAGCTTTAGGTTTTTCATAGATGCTGTGATGATTACTTTTATGTGCCAACTTGGCTGGGCCACGGTGCCCAGATATTTGGTCAAATATTATTCTGAATGTTTCTTTGAAGGTTTTTTTTTTTTTTTTTTGAGATTAGCATTTCAATCAGTGGATTTTGAGTAAAGCAGATTACTTTCCATACTGTGGGCAGGCCTCATCTATTCAGTTGAAGGCCTTAATAGAGCAATGACTGACCTCTCCAGAGCAAGAAGAAATTCTACCAGTAGACTGCCCTTGGACTCAAACTGCAATTCGTTCTTGGGTCTCTATTCTGCTGGGCTACTCTGCAGACCTTGGACTTACCAAGTTCCACAGTCATGTCAGCCAATTCCTTAAAAATCTCTCCCTGTATACACATTGTTTCTGTTCTCTGGAGAACCCTGACTGATACAGATTTTGGTACTGGTAAGTAGGGTGCTGCTGTAAAGAATACGTAACAATATAGATAGGGCTGTAGAACTGGGTAATGTGAGTAGAGGCTGGAAGAGTTTTGAAGTTGCATGTTAAATAAATTCTAGCTTGCCTCGAAGAGACTGCAGAAATATGGCCATTGTTACCAGCTACACCGGACAACCCCAAGAATTCTGCTACTCCGCGATCCCAAAGACCATCAGCCTTGCCTGACCACTAAACGTTTCCCCCGTCTTGGGCCAGCTTACTTTCCAGGCTTTCCCCCTTCTATTCGTCTCCCACCAGGTTCCCAGTCCGTAGGCTGGGATCCCCCACGTCGCAGCCAGGGCGAGAGGTGTCCACGGTGGCGGTGCAAGATGTCTTCAGGCCGTCGGCCCCGAGGACGGCTAAAGAAGGACGCGAGGACAGCCCCAGCCCAGAACCTCAGGCCTGTCGAGGCCGTCGAAGAGGTCCAGAGTCCGCCGGTCACGGGAGGAGAGAGGGAGGCCAGGTCCCTGACGATTCCCCGTCCTCCCCGCGGCCGGCGCTCTACTGTGCCCCCCGACCGAGGACCAGCACAGCTAACCAGCCGCCTGCTTTTGGGTAGCAAGCGCCACGATGCCCGCGACTGCCGAGCGAGCGACGGCGGCCGAGGAGGCTCAATCCTCAAGCAGCCCGTCAGGGTCCTCACCGACGGGTGTGCGCGTGCGCGAGTCTGTGCGTGCGTGCGTGTGTGTGCGCGCGCCAATAGACTTGGATCAGGAGCTTCTCCGCTGTCCGTCCGTGGGTGGCGCCTTGGGCGTGGCCCCGGACCTGGGGGCGTGGCGTCGGGCACCGAGTCCGGGGGCTGCTGGGCCGGGTACCAAGCCGACGGCCCTCGGAGTGTCCCGCTCGCCGTATCTTCACCCAAGCTCCTTGTCTCAACCGCTGCGACCCCCCCGCTGAGAAACGCGACTGCGCGCGCTCATCTCACCCTCTGGACTTTTAACTGCCGAGAGCTACACGCGCTCTGGCCTTTCAAACACAGCATTTCACATCTGTCGGATTTCCAGAAATGTCTTGATTGCTTGCTTGCTTCTCTTTCTAAAAAATCTGGTTTTGAAATCTTCCTCTGCAGTGTGTGTATCATGACTCTGACACATTTTAGGCCACCTAGGGTAATGAACATTTGCAATGAGAGCATCAGTAAATGACTTGAGTTCTTACTCCCGACTAAAGCCTGTGACTGGCGTCCCCATTGCATTTTAGAATAAACCTGAAATCTTTACCTCCTCTCCAGCCGCTGCGTGACCTGTCCCCCGTGGCCCTGCCTGCAGCCGCCCAGCTCACTCCCTTCCTCCCCGCAGGCGCCAGTCTCGCATGGACCTTTCACACTTCCTCAGGGAGACTTCTGCAGTTTCCTGTGGTTGAAAGATTCTCCTCTCTCTGCCAACCTCTTTCTAATGCTTTAGACTTCAGCTTAAATGTCCTAAGCCTTTCCTGGTCTTCCAAAACTGTATTGCCCTTCGCTCTTAAAACAATGCATCATTTAAAAACATGTATTTTGTGTTTATTTGTTTAACACCTATGTTTACTAGACTGAGAGTTTCAAAAGGGCAGGGAGCTATTTCTCTTTCGCCTCTTACTGTATATTCCGAAGCTAGCAGGAGCTGGGACTTAAGTGAATCTTCTCTATATTGAATGTTGGGGAGGAAGGAGCTTTCCAGAAGTGTGATTATAGATCTTTGATTTTGGAAAG